GAATGATCCCAGGAGAATCTGAAGCATCTACTTGGTTAGCCACGTCCTGGACTGACAGAGTCCTTTGGGCGAGAGTAAATTAAAGGGAGGATGTAGGACCTGTACAGGTAGAGTGTCTGACGACCTGTTACAGGATGGGGTCGCAGTTCCGGAGCGACCCACTAGGTGTCATCCTCCAACAACCTTAGGCACCTCCTCACTCACAGTCTGGACTAATCATTGGTGTCACCTGTGTCTACCTGTTCACCTGTGTATTTATGCCCTCACTTCCCTGTATTCCCTTGCTCAGTTTTCTCTGCTAGTTTCTATGTGCTCAGCAGTACTAATCAGTGTCTGATCTGAGAAGTATGTACAGGTACTCGAGAAGGGTTTTCCCTTATTCTTTATTATTTCAGTCATAGTTACTATTTCCTATTTTGTCTGTCAGCCTGTTTTTGGAGACTTCTTTGCTCCACCTTTTTTTTATTGTGTTAAGTCCGTTGTTTTGTATCCTGGCTTCGGGACCACCAGTAAAGATCCTTGTTTCACCATCTCTGCCTACTGCCTACTGTCTATCCTGCACCGCACCTGGGTCACACCTCACACCAACCCTTACAACGAACAAGTAGGAGATAATGCAAGACTAGTTGAGGACTTTGAGCGTGGGAACTGAAGCTCAGTGTTTTGGCAGAATTGGCTCTCTGGAGTCTGAGAGAACACAGTGGGAACTATGCATCGTACAGTAGCCTAATCTTGTGAAGTAGGTTTTGGTGCAACTTTAAGCTTGTCTTATTACACTATGGCAAGTTGTCATACATTCTACATCTCTTCTCTATTCTTAGTGTATGAGGCAACAACGGTTTATAAAAAATAAACTGTGAGGCTAGTGTAGGCTTTGACCAAGTGTACCTTTTGACCTTCAAAAAGAGGTAACCTTGAGCAAGACACTTCACCTTAATTGTTCCACCTAAAATCATAACATTATGTATCAACTGAGATTGTTCTCTAATCAAATGATGGTCAATCGATTGTTTTATTTTTCACAAGGAGTTAGAATGAGCAATGTCAGCAGAGTTACTGGAGCTGCTGCCCCAAGCCATCTTAAATGTCAGCAGAGTTACTGGAGCTGCTGCCCCAAGCCATCTTAAATGTCAGCAGAGTTACTGGAGCTGCTGCCCCAAGCCATCTTAAATGTCAGCAGAGTTACTGGAGCTGCTGCCCCAAGCCATCTTAAATGTCAGCAGAGTTACTGGAGCTGCTGCCCCAAGCCATCTTAAATGTCAGCAGAGTTACTGGAGCTGCTGCCCCAAGCCATCTTAAATGTCAGCAGAGTTACTGGAGCTGCTGCCCCAAGCCATCTTAAATGTCAGCAGAGTTACTGGAGCTGCTGCCCCAAGCCATCTTAAATGTCAGCAGAGTTACTGGAGCTGCTGTCCCAAGCCATCTTAAATGTCAGCAGAGTTACTGGAGCTGCTGCCCCAAGCCATCTTCAATTGTAAGCAAACTAACAGAGACAGTGTAATATGGTCTGCACCAATGTCTCCGTTCCCTCCTCCACATGTGGGGTGTTCATTTACTCCGGCAGAAATCTGAAGCGTCTGATTCCCTCCGTCAGCGCGTCACACCCTGCGTCTGTAATTACAGCATCAGGTAGTCCAGCACTGTCTGTGATTAATTTGTAACGGAAAGGATTTGGGGCTAGCACAGCACAGTGTGCTGAGTCATGTAGCCTATAGATCTACAGATGTAGGATCTTAATTTTAGCCAGTTTGCTACAGCAGGAAAATAATCCTGCAGCAATAGGAAATGTGAATTATTATGTGGATTATAATTAATGGGCATTTTTGTAGGGTTAATAAATTTTTCGTAAGGGAAAATCAAGTCAAACATTTCTACGTGGAAATACAGCCTGTGATATACAGCAGAGCTTGAGAGATTTATGGTCCGAACACAAAAAGCTTTGACTGTAGTTTGGAACATCCCTTGGCCCAGTGTTTCTGACAGATAACAAGACACCAGCAATTATCTGTCGCCATGAATAAATCAAGGACTTTACTTCACACCCATGATCCACAAAACCATTTTGAAAGGCAGGCCGGCCGGCAGGAGCAACCTGCTCAACACTTCTCTCTCCTCTGAGATTGTGAGAATGAGCAGTTGTTTTCTGGCTGTTATTAGAGGTCTTCAACATATATTTCTTTACAGATACATATTTCCACAGGGGTTATTTGAGATAATATGTAAGCAGGAAGAATTGGGGTCCAGTATGTTGACTGAATGGTGATGGAATTTTCACACTCCTTTAAGAACAGATTTTGACTAATATTTGTAATCTAGCAATGGAAGAAAAACAGTTTTCAATGAAGACGTGTGTTGTTGCTACTATTGTTTTAATTCAAGTGTCAAACCAATGAAAACGTAATTGTGTTCTTCAACAACAACAGAGAAACGGAGGTAGACAGCAACACTTAAAACATGTTTGTGCTCTTGTCATTGAGAATATGGACATAATGTATCTGGGAAGTGAGATGTTATTTTACTCTTTGTTATTCCATGGGCTTCACTTAAGATGTCGTTAAATAGGGGGAGTCCAACTGGGTGTGATGGAAATAAAGTCAGCATAGCAGCCAGGTATTCTGGGGCCCCCTGGCCCTTTGTTCCTGCAGCTGTAAACCTGTAGAGGTGGAGGACCCTGTTGGTACATGCTCTCCCCCATCCAGCTCCAACCCTCTGCCTTCATACACTGGCAGAGCTGCTTGGCCTTTAGGAGGACAGTGATGTCATATTTGGACAGGATCTTTACCCTGTGGAGGTGGATCCCCTCTTCCAATTCTCCTCCCTCCCCGTCACGCCTCCTCAACCAGACTGACTCACCCACAAGGGGCTATCTGTATGCATGCAGAGCACCTCAGACCCTTTCCTGTGGAAAGAGAGAGTGAGCCGATGGCACAGGGCTGAGTCACACACACACACACTAATAAACAGGTCTCTGTGCTCCATAAAAAAATAAATGTATTCTATCCATGAAATGACTGATGGTCCCAAAGGACTCGGTTTAGAACCTACTAGTGTAAATGCAGTATCTACAGTACATCAGCATCAATCACCTGTCATCTTCAGTCATTCAGCAGTGTCAATGGGAGATTTGTGAGAACATTTGTAACGCTCGCAGATCTGAACTGTCTGTCTGCCTATCACCAAGTTAGATGACACATCAGTCTGTGCACATACAGAGCCAAGTTGTCATCACTGTGTGAGTTGTATTGTTGTCTTTCTGTTGGATCTGTTTCCATGGTGAGAACATGCAGCAACATTCCCATCTGGGAAAAAGGTTAAGTGCCAAGAAAAGAACACTTGTTACGGCAAACAAAGATAGTGAAAAAGATCACAGAGCTATTAGATAAATGAGAGTCTTTCCTCACTCCAAATATGACAGGACCTTCTAATTACATGCAGCATACAATAACTAAAGTAATGCCTGAATGGCCAAAGCCTTCAAATTGAACAAATGATTTACCTTCACAGTGTACTGTTTCAGAGACGGCCTCCTGTGCCTGGGCTTTCAATGAGACAGCCATGCATTCCAGCAGAGTGAAATATGAGCTGTTAATAACACAAACCTTCCACTCACATGAGAGTCTGTCATCAATACACAAGGAGAGTTAAATCACTAGCGTCCCACTGGTGTACTGTTCTGAAGTGCCACGCTCAAGGCAAACTGGCCTACAGTAGCAATGTTCCAGCAGTGCACATCGCTCGGTCTAGCATTATTCATGCAAGTGCTCTACAATTAAAACCCTGCAGCTTTTCACTGAAGGACAATATTAGAGCCCAGATAAGTGATACGTTTCTCTGACACCATGGCAAAAGCTTCTTTGTTGGGACTACAGTAAGATGGTCTGATCTGATTACATGACATGTCCTGTAGTTTACCCCTGTAGTGGTGCAGGAATCTTACCCTCTCTGCCCCCATCCATGGGTAAAGTCACTGGCCACCAAACAACACCTTGAGCTTAATTATATTTTATCAGAAGTTGAGGTAATTAGACAGCTCACTGCTTAAGGCTCACAAATATTCATGTTCACAATTAATAGAATCAACCATTTAGTGACAGTTCTGTGTTCAGAACTGAATCTACTGTATGATAAATATTCATACTGTATAAATATTATTGTAATGACAATGGTTTGAGGTACGACAATAGTATGATGTTTTATGTTTCTTCTAATTCAAGATGTACACCGCAACACTGTGCTTCTACAGGCATTACAGACCTGCCCATTTGGAAGAAAATACAACGTAAATAAATGTTCAATAAATATATTCTAAACTCCTCCACCCTCAACATGACAAGAGTAGGGAGACGCTTTGAAGTCCCATTCCAGCCTGCCTCACACCATAATTACACACAGTAGTCATTATGGCCTCAAACACTTCCACGGTGGTCAAGGTTACGGGGCCAAGGTCTCCTTGTTCTCTTCTCACACAAAAACATGGTAAAAACGTGTCCCTCTGAAGGTGGTAATAGAGAGACAATGGGACAACCCTGAGACAATAGATGCAGTTGACATTCTGCAATTCAAACAAAAAAAACACATGACCTCTGAACAACCTAATTTCTAATCAAATTGCTAGAATTGCATGATGCAAAAATAAAAATCTGTTTTTCGTTGAGAGATTCCTTTCCGGATGATTTGAATGAATTAAGTTCTTGTACACAAAAAGCGCTTTAGGGTAAATAATTCATTGTGAAGGATAGTGTGACTTCAAAATACAAGCTCTGTTAAACCTTGACTGCCCTCCAGTGGTTAACTTGGAACTAAACAAGGAACTTCACACACAGACCCTCAACATCTACCACTAACATAATTAAGGGAGTATTCACCCCCTCTTCACAATGCTTGAAGCAAGAAACATTAACAAATCAGTTTCTTTGCTATGATAAATTATGTACAGACTTTTGCGGTATCTGTGTGTAGCTGCAAAGCTCCTCCCCTCATACACATGTAATACACAGAATGCAGGAAGTATTTTTACAGGAATTAAAACACAGCACTCTTTGACAGAACTAGCTCTATTTATTTGACTGTTTTGTTCAACAAAGGGCAAAGTACATGACACAGGACCTTTCAGATCAGTTACTGGAGGAGATGAGGACATCCTTTAGTTCATAGTCTTATAGTAGCTGCCTGCTACCAAACAAGGGTGAGTCTTTAAAAGTGAAAGTTAACTGATTCCTTACATTGGGGCATTACGAGTGTGACTGAGAAAATGGCCTCCAGACTGTCTCTTCCAGAAGAGGATCTCTCCTGTCCTGTGTGCTTAAACATATTCAGTGATCCTGTCCTCCTATCATGTAGCCACAGCTTCTGTAAAGCCTGTCTGCAGAAGTGCTGGAGACTGAGAGGATTTCAGGAATGTCCCGTTTGTAGGGAAGTATTTTCAATGTGTAATCCACCCTGTAACCGGGCTCTAAAGAACCTGTGTGAGGCTGTCTTAAAGGAAAGGAATCAGAGCGTTTCAGGAGGGTCTGAGGTGCTCTGCAGTCTGCACGGTGAGAAACTCAAGCTCTTCTGTATGGAGGATCAAGAGCCCATCTGTGTGGTTTGTCGTGATTCAAGGAAACATAAAAATCATGACTGCATCCCCATACAGGAAGCTGTACAGGAACATAAGGTAGGATTTTTTTTTGTATTCAGAGAAGGTTGTGTGTGGGGGGGGGGGGGGGGGGGATTATTAGGAACATTTAGCAGTAGTTTGTGGTGCTCTACAATAGTTGGTGCTAAAATAGGGCCTGTGAAATCTGTTAATTTTTTACTCTTAACCAAATGTCTTTCCTACACAGCAATTTCACATAGAGTAACAAGTTTGTGAATACCATGTTGTTTCATTTCAGGTGAAACTCAAGACTGTATTGAACCCCCTAAAAGATAAACTGAGGCTCCTTAATGAAGTCAAACTCACCTGTGATAAAACAGCAAAACATATCAAGGTATGAAATTTAAGTATTGATGCAACAACATTGTACACATTTTGGCTAGTTTGTGTTTGTTGTCAACTCGGTTCTAATCGAAGGGAAGATCATCATCATACCGTAACGGAAGACTGAGGTGAAGCAATTTTGATTGGATGCCATCAGGGATGGGGGGGATACAGTACTGTATGTCTTAGATATCCCTCTCACTGTCTCCAGATCCAAGCCCAGCACACAGAGAGCCAGATTAAGGAGCAGTTTAAAAATCTGTACCAGTTTCTGCGAGAGGAAGAGGCGACCAGGATAGATGCAGTGAGAATGGAAGAGGTGCGGAAGAGTCAGATGATGAAGAACAAGATAACAGAGATGAGCAGAAAAATATCATCACTTTCAGACACAATCAAAGCCATCAAACAACAGCTGAGAGTTGAAGACATCTCATTCTTGCAGGTAAACCTTTGATCTTATGAGTAGATATTGTGAGTATTGTAGCGATCCTTCCTATATGAGCCACTTTACAATTCCCACCAAGTGGGTTAACCCTATTGATGCAATGTGTTGGGTGGTTTGCCTTTCATGTCAGTGACCTGGGTTCACTTCTCTGCGCCCCCATTCGCTACATTGGTGTCCGAAGTGGGAATGGCGGCCATCGGAATGCACCGGAATGCACAGCCCAGAATGTGTGAGGGGTCTAAGTAGTCGAAGCCCGTTCCTTCCCGTTCGGAGGGGACAATATAGCGATCCTCGCTATATTAGCCACTTTACAATTCCTACCAAGTAGATTAACCCTATTGGTGCGATGCGTAGGTGCCTTTCACGCCGGTGACCCGAGTTTGCTTCCCTGCCCTGCCGTTCTCTACAGTATTATTTACTGTTTATTTTATTGATAACACTGATTTGCATCTCACCTGCTTTCTTGTTCCTCTTCAGAACTACAAGGCCTCTGTGAAAAGGTAAGTCATCTTCATCCTGTATCTCTTCTGTGGTTCAGAACCCATCATCAAAGCAGTATTGAACACTAATCATTCTTCCAGAGCCCAGCACCCACTGCCGGATGCACAGAGGGTTTCAGGAGCGCTGATAGACGTGGCCAAACACCTGGGCAACCTGCAGTTCAGAGTCTGGGTGAAGATGCAAGGGATTGTTCATTACAGTGAGTGTTTTACAGCAAAAAACAACAACAACAACAGTAGGTTTAGTCTGCGCCTTGTTCTTAGTCCTAGAAAGTGTGGTCCTCTGTAGCTCAGCTGGTAGAGCACGGCGCTTGTAACGCCAGGGTGGTGGGTTCGATCCCCGGGACCGCCCATACACAAAAATGTATGCACGCATGACTGTAAGTCGCTTTGGATAAAAGCGTCTGCTAAATGGCATATTATTATTATTAACAGTATCAGTCAAAGGAGTTTGAAAGGGAAATTCAGATGAAATCCAGTAGTGACCCCCATACTGTTCTGAATTTTCAAAATACGGTTATTCTCTCTATTGCAACACAATGCTCATGTTAGTATCAATTAAACTTGTGTTAGTATCAATTAAACTTGTGGGTAATTTACAGTGTAAATTGTCAATTTAAATTATCTCTCATTAGCTCCTGTAATCCTGGACCCCAACACTGTAGGCACAAGACTCATTCTGTCCGAGGACTTGACCAGCATAGGGCATGCTGATAGAGCACTACAGCTTCCTGACAACCCAGAGAGGATTGATGGATGTGTCCTAGGCTCTGAGGGTTTTAACTCAGGAACACACAGCTGGGATATTGAGAATTTGGATGGTGACTTTTGGGCTGGAGGTGTGGCTGCAGGTGTGGCCACTAAGCATGACAACAGGCCTATTTATTCTAACGATATGCCAGATGAATTCTGGGGTGTTATGACTACTTGTGGTGTATACCTAGCATTATCCCAAAAGCAAAATCTCCATCACCTCACAGTAGATCACTTTCCCCAAAAGATGAGAGTGCATCTGGACCTGGTCAAGGGAAAGCTGTCATTCTTTGACCTTGATAAAAACACACACATACACACAATCACACACACTTTCACAAAGACAGTCTTCCCTATATTTCGTCATGATAAAACTTTGAGGATCTTACCAGTGAAAACCACTGTGACAGTGGGACAATACAGTTAAATACAGCACAAATTGATGTAATAGTTTAACTGCCACAACACTGTTTGCTAGCACTCTACTCATAGTCCTGTCCTGAGTTAGTAATTCACTGTGAGTGTTGGAGAGGTGGGCATTGGTCTTGTCTCCACTATCTTAGAGAGACACTCAGCTCTAAAACAATTATTCAATGGATTCTGACCCTGGTCTTATCAACAGGTGAAGCAATCAAATTGCTCATGTATCACATAACAAAATTTTTTGTTTAGCCTAATGTTGTATTACTAGATTGATTGTTTTTTATTTCTTTGTTTTCTGTTATTGATTGTTCCAGTAAAAAAAAAGCATTTTGATTGCTGTGGATAGTTTTCAAATGTCAGATATATAGTGCTGTGTGTATAGCATAATAAAATCTGTCTATTTTTGCTCTTATCTTTGTCTGGTCATTCTGACACATCTGTGATGTTGATCTTCATTCGTTATCAGTAACAACTTTTAACATCTATAACAATATTTCACTTCCTTACCTAAAGCATGTCTGACTGCATACAAATAATTTCAACAAGGTTTTATTAATACAATGTGAAACAAATTGTGTTTCCCTTGTTTTTATCTCCTGTTAAGTTTCACAATTTCCAGCATGTTAGTTTCCAAACATTACATCGCTAACAGGAAGCATCGACAGCAAACAAAAACAGAAAAAAAATAAAGTATCACATTTTCTCTGTTAAAGTGACTGATTAGAGTTAGTTCCTCATCTCTATATTCAGTCAACATACTGCACACATATCTTTTCAGATACATCTGTCCTCTTCCTGCTCACTGATACACTCATTCCATTGGTAAAGGGGGGTGTTGAGCTATGACTCAAACACACATACCATGTCCTTGTCTAACCACTGTAGTCTTGCACTCACAGCATGTGTAGAATTTGTTAGGTCCTCTAGTATTATTCTATACCCCTCAAACTCAACTCTAGTCCTCGAAGCCAGTTCCACTGCTTTTTTTCATTGCTCCCCTCTAATAAGGGACTGATTTAGACCTGGGACACCAGGGTGATGCAATTAATTATCAGGTAGAACAGAAAACCAGCAGGCTCCATACCTCCTAGGGCAGGGATATTCAACGCTTACCCAAGCACTGCCCAACCCTGTTCCTGGATAGCAACCGTCCTGTAGCTTTTTGCTCCAACCCTAATCTAGCACACCTGATTCTAATAATTAGCAGGTTGATAAGTTGAATCAGGTTAGTTACACCTGGGGTTGGAGCGAAAACCTACAGGATAGCGCTCCAGGAACAGGGTTGGGCAACCCTGTCCTAGGAGGTCCGAAGCCTGCTGGTTTTCTGTTCTACCTGATAATTAATTGCACCCACCTGGTTGGTGTCCCAGGTCTAAATCCCTGATTATGGAGGAACAACTAAAAAACGCAGTAAAACTGGCTTCAAGGACCAGAGTTGAGTTTGAGGGTCCTATGGTAAGAGTTGAATACCCCTGCTCTATACCTTCCTGGCTTTGTTTGTCTCTCTTGATCCATTCAAACCTCAGCTCTTGAAAAAAGGAGGAAAAACAATCACTAATATATGGAAATGAATAATTGGGACTGATTTCATTTAAGGGGCAGTTATTGTAAATATAGATTTGAGTGTGCAGCCGTAAGTCATTTAAATAACAAGAATACAGGAAGTTTCAGCTAATTATCATCTGTACTTTTTAATAGATTTATAAACTGTGACAACTTTTGTTAAAATCCTTACCATAACTACAGCAGGAAAAGAAAAGTGAGCAACACTTAACGTAACTTAATACATTACAGCATGAACAGTCGAGACATGGCACAACTTGTGGAGGGGAGGGTTGACCCTTGACCATGTTTGTGAAGATACACATCATGCATGCGTACACACACACACAGGCTATTTGCCTGTCACAACAGAAGACAGCAGTCCTTGAACAGGGTTTTCCAGCACATTCTACTACACCGGTCACTGATGCCTTCTAAATACACTGTAGTATCATTTTAGTATCAAATGCAAATGTCAGAGCTATTAGATTGTTTTCCAATATTTTAATTGCAATTTAGAGGGACACAAACTAAAGGAATTAAGATGCCATAAATTAGCCATTATCAGTCAAATACAGACTTTAATATTTTCACATTAACCCTGACAATTAAAACACTGACTACCTAAAAAGTCTGAGAAACCAACCCCCAAAAAAGTTAGTTATAATTTGCAAAAACTGATCACAGCCTGACAATCCCCAGAGGTGAAATTCATTTGACATTTGGTTAAGAGTAAGTAAATAAAAGCTAAACAACATTAATACCCTAGCATAGACAAACAGAATGTTCAAAGATGTCTCCTGGCTTAGTTTGGCAATGTTGATCATTAATATGGCCAAACAACTTTCTGCCAATAACTATATTCGATCATAAACAGACTGTCCTACTTAAAAAGGTGCTGTAATTGTTAGGAGCCAAAGAGTTAGCTGGGATAAATAGACATTTCATTTAGTTAATTACTAAATTTGACTTGAATTATATAGATAGTCTACATTTAAAGTGCTGATCAGTTATCATAATGTAGGCTGATTAAATTCACGTATGGGGACTCAGGAAAGACAAATCCTTACCTAACAGTCTCAGAAAGGAGCATTCTAACCTGATCAGAGGCCAAGAAATCCTGTCCCTATGAATTTAACATAAAAAACTACAAACAATTCTCCTCTGGAGGTGAAACACAGACTTGAGACATTGGTCCTAAATTTACACTAAATCCTGCATTGATGTCAATAGGAGATTTGTAACACATGAACATTTGCATATTTCTGTTTAAAATACTACCCTGCATGAGTCTCTAACGCATTCCTACAGCACAAAACAGTGGCCACTGCCTAAGTGCTGAACCTGTGCAAAACTCAATGAGAAAAACACTGCCCAGAACTTCAAAAACTAAATCTTTTTTTTAATGTAGGAAAATATGGGGCATTCATTAGAGCATTGAGATGGTAGTAGTATGAAAATGGATGCACTCTCTAACTGTAAGTCGCTCTGGATAAGAGCGTCTGCTAAATGACTCAAATGTAGATGTAGCATGTTAAGCATAGCCTAGATGATTAACATAATGTGCGCAGTGTTGGTAACCACCACCACACCCTGAGAAAAACATCCCAAAAAAACTGTCAGGAATTAACAGAGCCCAAAAGAATTGAGGCAGTACTTTGAAATTGAAAACAGACCTAGGCCTCGATGGGAGAGGGATGCATATTCTCATGATTTGAACCTTCCATCTGTCCACCCAATGACCTGGGATTTCTAATTAGTGTAATTCAGTTAACAGGGAAAAATAACATGTGAACCAACTACTCCATAATCCCTCCAAAGACTGTTTTGCAGGGGCTTACAAAAGCCTCCCCCATGATATTTGCTTGCATCTAACCTAGAATACGAGCAGAAAACCCAGCTTGTTTTCATCTTGCAACACACTGTTTACACATCTAGAAGGCAACCATTCTAAAACATTCAAGCCTTTCCCATTTGTTTCGGTCTGAATTAAAAATTATGCATCTGTGATACCTTACAGTTCAAATGTGAACATTTTGAATTCCTAAAGAAATCAAAATGTTTCATCTTCCATGACAGGCTGAGAGACAGGCCATCTCAGGCCATCTCTCTCCAGTATCCTGTGATTCCAAAGATGGGGCGGAAATGCCGAGGTGGTGATTGAATGACTGAGCATCCCACATCACTTGATGTCTTCAACAAGCCTGTCTCTGAACATTGGAATTGAGGGAGAAATGTAGGAGTCACTCTTGCTGACACGTTTCCTGTCACAAAGTTGTGTTCCGCACTGTTCAACCATCCTGTAATCTCCCAAATGTCAACATCCCTGTAAAAGGCTGAGTGTGGTCTCTGTGGTGCTGCTGTACTGTGTCCCCTCTACGGCACAAGCTGCTCACATCAAAGGAGTCCTGCACATTAGTCTCAGAAAGGAGAGGGAGCCGTTCTAAGTGTCCTTTAGGGAACCGTTTCATGAGGCAGCAGCCAGGAGAGGGCATAGCGCTTAGTCATGACTTGACTGAACAGGCCCATCCTTGGACTGGTCATAGAACACTACTCCTTTTGAATCTAGAGGGAAGGAAGTAGGAGGTCAGATTTCCTTAGCTCAGACATACTATAGCAATATAAGGCTTTTCGGGTTCTTGACAATCTCTCCACAATCATACAGCAGGAATTACAAGCTTACCTTGTTTTTGTAAATTCTGAATATATTCAATCTCTGTAAAAATATAAAAACAACGTGTTTAGTACAGTGTGAGAGATTGATAATACAGTAGTTATTACATGCACCATTCTATTTCTGTTCTAAGGACCAGCCATAGCAGGTCAATTATTTAACTTTGTGAATGAACATCAGAGGCAACAGCTACCTACCTTTAGTGTGATAAATAACAGCAGCTTTTAGATCGAACGCCCCCCAGCAAGATCCTGGGTCGCAACCCTTGGGGTGGCTGGGCTCCTTGGCCAGAGCAGACACAGGATGAGCAGGAGAAGCAGGAGAGGCAAGAGGCAGCTCAGCACCAGGGTCCTTAGAAAAGGAGGACACTATGGCACCTCTACTCCCAGCCTCGCCCCTCAGAGTGTCTGGGCCAGGGGCTTGGCCTCCCAGCCCAGCATCAGGGCCAGGAGACAAGTGAGGGCCTGATTTCCCAACACTGCTAGGGGCTTGGGAGATAGTTTGTTTGTCCTGCTCGTAAGCCTTAGGGAAGAGGGGCTTGTCAGGTCTCAGAGTGGAGGTGGCAGAGACTTGCAGAGGCAAAGCTGCAGGGCTGCCTCCCTGAAAGGTGATCTCCACGATCTGGCCTTTCCGGGCTGGCTGCCCCACTACTGCCGGCCCCACCCCAGGCCCTGCACTGGGCTCGTTGATGAACGACAGCCCCCACTGGTTCTGGAAAATGTCCACCAGAGCTTTGGGATTTGTCTTAGCAGTAGGTGAGTCTACTTGGCGGGCGCTGGGGAGGGCGGGTTGCATATTTGAAGTGGCCAGGGGGTAAACAAGGAGACTGAGCTTTCTCAGTTCTCTGGTAGTCATGGAGGGGGCGCCTGACATATCTGTGCCGTTGCTGGACACGGATGCTTCGTTCTCCCACTTGCGGGGAGGGGAGACAGGCATTGGGGTAATGCAAACAGTAGTGGTAAAAAGAGGCACAGGGAGGGGGCAGCTATTCCCCTCTCCAGATAGGGGATAACTGGTGAAGCTAGGGGAGGTGATGGTTTTGACAGCAGACATGGGCACCTGGGACTGGGTAGGTGAGGTGTCACCTGCAGCTTTGTTTAGATTCTCTTTCACTTTACTTGCATAACTGACCTTGGGCACTGTCTTGGCACTACTATTGTCCACAGGAAAGACAGGGGGTGGTTTAAAGAGGGTCCATGAGTCCTCTTTTGTGGAGGTAAGCTTGGCTTTGCTCAGTCGGTCTTCCAGCTTTTTAACAGAGCCTGCAGCAGCCTTGCCGTCAGAGTTCTTACACTGTAGTTCACCAACCTGAACCACAGGGGCTTGTGCCACAGGTGGGACACCTGTGATGGAAGTGGGAGACTGAGAGCCTGCTGCTGTATCGCCAGCCTCTGGAGTGAGAGGCTCCGTCTCATGTTTGTTAGGGACCATAGCTGCCTGCAGCACAGCCTTCTCCTGCCCAGCAGTCACACTCTCCTCAGCCATTGCACTCCGCTGAGCCCAGCGTTTCTTGGGAGTGATGTATCCACTCTCAGAACCACTGCCACCACTGTCTGGTCCAGGCTTGCTGGGGCAGCCGTTAACGTACAGGCCAGGGTTGAGGAGCACAACGCCATTTGGTAAAGCAATGGACTCGCTCTTGCCATAATGTGTTTTCAACTCTGAAGGCGTGTCATTTTTGCAGTTCATAATGTTCTTAAAATGGCTATTGCTACTGCCTTTTGTGTGAGAGGCGAGGCACTTCCCAGAAGGTTTTGGTTTCAAGTTAGAAGTTTCAGGTTGTCTGCTGCTCGAGTAATGAAGGGCATCCACAGGAACAGGGGTAGAAGGGGTGCCCTCTCTCTCCACTGGGGTTCCATTTATTTTTCCATTACCTGATGACATGACAAGAAAACACACAACTACAATCAAATACACTGTACTTGCATAGAGTAGGCCTAGATTTCTTAAACAATCTTCACCGAACTGAATACACGCCTGGTTTTTCTTTGTCCATAACAATACAGGCTATCCAATGAAGTTGTATGGCTAAACTCCGATGCGCCTGCCATATTTCCTGCAGACAACGCAAAATCTGATATTGAAAGTGTTAATTAATGGGTATGTTTTAATTTATTTTAAACATGAAATATGAATACATTTTAAAAGAGACAGTCAGGCCCGCTCACATGACTAGACACGTCATTGCCAATACTAGCCAGCCAATCTGATCTTGCTTACAGTGGCACTAGGGTCAAACAGCATTCCTGTGTAAATGAAGACACTACTGAGCCGCGCGAGATATGGCTAGGAAAACGTACCTCAATCCAAGGACGTAAAATGCCTTGTACTCAGAATTGTCCCATTATCCCAACTGTTACACAGAGAAGATTGAACGAGTGGCGCAGTGGTCTAAGGCACTGCATCGCAGTGCTAGCTGTGCCACTAGAGATCCTGGTTCGAATCCAGGCTCTGCTGTAACCGGCCGCAACCGGGAGACCAATGGGGCGGCGCGCAATTGGCCCAGCGTCGTCCAGGGTAGGGGAGGGAATGGCAGGCAGGGAGGTAGCTCAGTTGATAGAGCATGGTGTTTGCAACGCCAGGGTTGTGGGTTCGTTTCCCACGGGGGGCCAGTATGAAAATAATAATAATGTATGCACTAACTGTAAGTCGCTCTGGACAAGAGCGTCTGCTAAATGACGTAAATGTAAATGTTCAATAGCAATCGTTCAATCTTCTCTGTATAACAGTTGGGATAATGGGACAATTCTGACTACAACGCATTTCTCATCCCTGGATTGAGGTACATTTTCTGAGCCATATCTTCCGTGGCTCCTTGGTGTCTTAATATACACAGGAATGCTGTCCGACAATAGTGCAGCTGTAAGCAAGTGGGTCGGATCTGCTGGCTATGCCAATGCCAGAGAAGACTCAAGTGACAAGAGCAACAGGCCCAAAAATAACAATAGCTTTTAGCTTGCTAACGATAGACTTTACCATTGATGTCAACACTCAGACCATAACTCTTACAATTACATAAATGTAGAAATAAACCAATTCTGGCGGACAGGGGAAAATGTAAACTCTTTACCGTAGCTAGCTAATAGCTACTTAACTAGCAAACGTTTAGCGGAACATTCCAGAGAAGCCGGTTCGTGTTGCAATAGCTAACGCGTTAGCTACATTCGCAAAGGCTAACGTTAGCAAAAGTGACACTCAACTGCCTAACGTTAGTTTCACGTAATTACATCGGACTTTCTGGCTGCCACTGCTACTAACTAGCTAGTTAACTACGTTATCTGGCTGGTTATTAGACAGTGCACAAGGTCAATGTCCAGCGAATCATGTTGTTGCTAGCCAACGTTCACTAACTTAGCTAACCGTAACAATCCTTAGATAGCTAACTACACACGAACAAGGCACTCCCTAACGTTCTCTAAAAGGCCCCTAATTAGCCAACGAGCTAGCTCATTTTTATATAATAGCTAGTTGTGTAGTTAGCTAGCTAGTCACCTAGCAGCAAGCTGGCTAGTGACTGCTCAAAAGTTAGTTTCTACTGCTGTAGTAGATTATGGAGGGACATTCGGACCCGTTTTCTCCGTCTGCGCTTCCTCGTACTGGTGCTGTTGATCATTTTCTACCCATGCGTTCGGTGGACCGGGGCGACTCTCGTCTACATGCTTCAAACATCCCTCAGATACCCATCCATCGGGCCGGACCTCCATTGAAGTGCAAATAAAATGCAAATCCACGAAGGCTGCTTCCCCTTGTAAACTAACTAGCTAGCTAGCTAGCCAGTAGCATAGCCGAAACATTCGGCCTGCCCAATCAACGCCCATGACTTCATTTCTGAGCTACCTTTGGGCGTGTTCGAGCGGATCATTTTGATGATTTGTGTTGCATTATGGGGTTTAACAATGTCCGACTTGCGCCTGCATGTTTTTTACAAAAATAATGTGACCAAAGGTCATGAAGTTTTGACTGCAAGTTTCTACAGTTGCTCTTTACCAACTTCATCCCACAGCCATCGCCTGCATTGTGGGTGCTCTATTGCTATCCAATCATTAGGATGTTTTTGTTTGACTCACGCGAACGTGACCAAAGACATGACTGAAACAGGAACCAACTTTGCTGCGATTTATGTATACAGTGGATACATACAAATGCATGTAATATTTGATGCTCTCTCTCACTGATTGATTGTACAATGTACACATGTATGACTTCAGTAAGTATAATTTCAGTTTGTGAGTGTGTGATATGGGGGTTGGAACCATGTTTATTTCAACATTATAAACAATGGCAAAACTGCCATGTTGATCTGAGCCTTGCTGTTCGAAAACCGCATTAGTGTCCGACTTTAGGCTGTCCTAGATGCACCTCCCCCGACTTCACTAGACTTTCGTCTACAGTCAGTTGAATGGAGCCAGATAGCTGCCAAAAGTCTGAACATAAGCATCATTAGGCTCATAAAAAAAGCCATGCGTGAAACATAAAAGTAAACGTGACATTTAATCTGTGAACATACAAACACCATATTAGGATTATGGACTAACATTTTAGGCTTGAACAAATCTTGTGTTGCAATTCTGATGTACAATAATACCTTTCAGAGTTTTGGCAGTTTCATCTCACAAACAAAAAAAACGTACACCAAATGGCCTGTGAGGAGTCCTTCACGAACAAGCATAACACAGTATAAAAAAAACAAAAGTCAGGGACACCGGAAAGAGGTATCCTGCACATTTTCAAGTTAAAAGTCTCCATTCTCTATTACTCAGTTGAGTTTACTTCACATTTAGGTAGCTAATGTAATGGATTTGTTTGCCAGCGCAAGTCTAGATAGCACTAGCTGTATTATGCCTACAACAGTGAAGTTTCATTCTTCTAGGTGTATCCCTACAGCATGGGCATATCTCTGGGTGACGTGGATATCCCCATGCATGCACCTTATCAAAATATGACTAATTCAATATTGCACCATCCCATTCTCTGGGCTCTGTCTGCAATCATAACCAGTAGTATATACCAGGAATAATGAAACATCGAATAATAATAATAATAGATGTTTGGTGAATCTATGAATTATGTATGACCACCAGGGTCTTTGCCACTCAATTTTTATTTTTTATGGTATATTTTGACATTTATTTTGTCACTCAAAACCTTGCCAAAGCATATTCTGTAGGAGGGGTTAATATGAATTTAAAATAATTTGACTTGATTTATATGAATCAGGTCATGAACATATGGACTTTGAAATGAACAAGGGAGAGGTTAAACGTAGACTAAGTCTGGCATAAGCTTATTCCCACACTTTACAATAATTATGTTGCAGTGGTCTTAGGTAGTCTCCGTATAGGCTATTCCCTCCATCGTGACACTGCTGCCCAGTTGAAGAGCTTGTGATCTCCATGCAGCACCACAGCACCATGCTTCTTCCGAAAAGCACCCGTCAGCCTCAGAAGAGGCCCTCTGGAGGCATGTATCCATAGAGTCATTATACCCTAATGTAGGCCTATTTGCCTACTAGCCAAATAAAGTTCAGAGCATGCATGATGCGTGCAACTCATCATTTCAACATATTTGAACATTTAATTAATCCTTCATTCAGTTCAGTCAATCAGTATGACATCTATTCTGTCATTTGTCTGAGTTGCAATAGGAACTAAATCAAAGAGAATAGAACAGTCTTATCCAGTTGTTTATTGAAATACAGGTGTGTATTCAAAATTATCAAAATTATCCAAAGTTCTTTAGCCTATCACTTTAATAATTCAATGTTTAATTTAGGCCTATCCAAATAAAAAAAATTGGCTTTCAACTTGTAGGTATTGCAATTTAGGCTATAATTTTGGGTACTGGTGTCTTGTGGAATAATTTTAGAACTCTATTTGTGTTTTTTTACTGTTTTTATTATAGGCCTCCCCTTAAAAAGAGACCATAGCTCACAGGCCTCTAAATATAACCTCTAAATAAATGTTAAACAAAATAGTTGAAGAAACACATGCAGTGGCTGATGGGGAAAACAGATCTGGCAATAAGAATAGGCTATAGATAGTGTTGACCATTTGGGACCCCTTGGCTATTTCGCTCAGGACAGGTTGTAGCCAAGACTTAATCAATATTTTGTTTTGTCTAATTTATTGATATGGATATAGCCTCTGCGTGATGGGGTTGTGCAATGCAAATGGCTATAGCAACCCTACATACAGAGTGGATTTCGCAAATACAACAGTCAAAATGCCTAATATAAGGCCTACAGTCCGTGCTCCCAAATACTGGAAAAAGTGTGATTCATTAGGTTACATGATCACCACAGTAGCCCCACACGGCTATAAAAATAAATTATGCAATTATATGGCCATTAAATAACACACAACAGCATGGCATATTTAGATAGGGGAAAGGCCTAGCATAAATCATATTTACTTTCTATTTTGCAGCTAAGGTGGTTATTCTAGACAAGGCTCTTCTGTGCCTTTATAGTATCATTCTCACACAAGTAATTTGCTGAAGGCCCAAGCCTATACTACGCCATCTACTGGTAAAACGTCGTTATCGAATGCTGTTCTAAAACAAGCTCAATACTTTTATTTTGGAAATGAAACCGGAAGCTGCAAAGCAACTCTAACATCTGGGCTAGAGTTGCTTGATTGACTAGCTAACTTTGACTAGCTATGTTCGGTTCATGTCCTTTGCAGATGCCACATTCCTAACAAAAGTTTGTACGTATAAAAAAGATATGTAACCAGGTAAAGGGACACATAAAGTAAGAATTGAACGTGTAAATGTTCATTCATAGTTGTAACATAGGGTTTGTACGTTTACAGAGCTAAATTAACGGTTAAGTTTCATGTTTCACTCATGGCTTTTCATACGATCCTAACAATGTACGTATGGATTTTCTTACGATCCTAACGATACGTACACTACCAGTCAAAAGTTTGGACACACCTACTCATTCAAGGGTTAATTTGTGGAATTATTTTCCTTCTTAATGCGTTTGAGCCAATCAGTTGTTTTGTGACAAGGTAGGGGGGGTATACAGAAGATATCCCTATTTGGTAAAACACCAAGTCCATGTTATGGCAAGAACAGCTCAAATAAGCAAAGAGAAATTACAGTCCATCATTACTTTAAGACATGAAGGTCAGTCAATACGGAAAATGTCAAGAACTTTGAACGTTTCTTCAAGTGCAGTCGCAAAAACCATCAAGCCCTATGATGAAACTGGCTCTCATGAGGACTGCCACAGGAATGGAAGACCCAGAGTTACCTCTGCTGCAGAGGATTTGTTCATTAGAGTTACCAGCCTCAGAAATTGCAGCCCAAATAAATGCTTCACAGAGTTCAAGTAACAGACACATCTCAACATCAACTGTTCAGAGGGGACTGTGTGAATCAGGCCTTCATGGTTGAAATGCTGCAAAGAAACCACTACTAAAAGACACCAATAATAAGAAGAGACCTGCTTGGGCCAAGAAACACGAGCAATGGACATTAGACCGGTGGAAATTTGTCCTTTGGTCTGGAGTCCAAATGAGAGATTTTTGGTTCAAACCGCTGTGTCTTTGTGAGATGCGGTGTGGGTGAACGGATGATCTCCGCATGTGTAGTTCCCACCGTAAAGCATGGAGGAGGAGGTGTTATGGTGTGGGGGTGCTTTGCTGGTGACACTGTCTGTGATTTGTTTAGAATTCAAGGCACACTTAACCAGCATGGCTACCACAGCATTCTGCAGCAATATGCCATCCCATCTGGTCTGGGCTTAGTGGGACTATCATTTGTTTTTCAACAGGACAATGACCCAACACACCTCCAGGCTGTGTAAGGGCTATTTTATCAAGAAAGAGAGTGATAGAGTGCTGCATCAGATGACCTGGCCTCCATAATCCCCCGACCTTTTTTTTTTCATTTTTTAGCAGACGCTCTTATCCAGAGTGCATACATTTTTATTTTTTTTTCATACTGGCCCCCCGTGGGAACCAAACCCACAACCCTGGCATTGCAAGCACAATGCTCTACTAACTGAGCTACACGGGACCTCAACCCAATTTAGATGGTTTGGGATGAGTCGGATGGCAGAGTGAAGAAAAAGCAGCCAACAAGTGCTCAGCATATGTGGGAACTCCTTCAAGACTGTTGGAAAAGCATTCCAGGTGAAGCTGGTTGAGAGAATGCCAAGAATGTGCAAAGCTGTTATCAAGGCAAAGGGTGGCTATTTGAAGAAACTCAAATATAAAATATATTTAGATTTGTTTAACACTTTTTTTCTACAATGTAAAAAATAATAAAAATAAAGAAAAACCCTTGAATGAGTAGGTGTGTCCAAACTTTTGAATGGTACAGTATGTTCAATCTTTTGGCAGCAATCTGGCTCCATACAGTTGCTTTGCCACACCAGCTGCCCAAGTCAGGTTGCAAGGTTGTGGTTTGGAGTTTAGAAGAAATCAATATATCTATGTAAAAACCAGGGGTGCAACTTTGGTTTAGAAGTGGGGGGGGGGAATTAATATATCAGCTTTAATATTGCAGATAGATTGTGTCTTCCATCAATGTAATTGTCTGCATCATTTAAAATCCCCCATATATTTTTTGGTAAATATATATACAGTGCCTTCGGAAAGTACTCAGACCCCTTGACTTTTTCCACATTTTGTTATGTTACAGCCTTATTCTAACATGGATTAAATAAAATAATAAATAGGTATCTCCCCTGACGTGGGCATGTTTTCATTACAGACTCCTTTTGTCGGACAGTATTCCATATTAGGCATCCAGACCTTATGAAAGTTGCACAGTATTCCCTGAATCTTAAAACAGATCTAGTGATACTGTTCATAACTTGACATTTCTTCCATACATTGTGGTAATGCATTTATTAGC